GCTGTTAAAACCACCATTTAAATTTTTTTTTAAAAAAATTATCTACAATCTACCAAAGAAAAGTAATCCAAGATATTTTTCTTAACTCACTAAAATCATTCATTTGGCCGGGACCGGTTTGGCTCAGTGGATAGAGCATCGGACTGGGGACTGAAAGGTCCCGGGTTCGATTCCAGTCAAGGGCATGTACCTTGGTTGCGGGCACATCCCCAATGGGGGGTGTGCAAGAGGCAGCTGATCGATGATTCTCTCTCATCGATGTTTCTAGCTCTCTATCCCTCTCTCTTCCTCTCTGTGAAAAATCAATAAAATATATTTTTTAAAAAATCATTCATTTGTTTCAAGATCTAATCTTCATTTCAATGGTTTTAGGTATTCAGAAATTGAGGCCTGCTATTTCACATTAATGAAAGTCAGTAATACCCTAAATATATTCTGCTTATTACAAGGCTGAGGCCGGAATCCAGAAACAGATGCAGTAGTCCTACGTAAAATTTTCATATTTATATTCCTATACAAGCCTCACATTTTTTCTAAGTAGGTACTTTATAATCAGAATAATGACCTGCTAACACACAAACAAGCTAAGTTTCCCTATTTATGTAAAGTCTCCTCACCAAAGTTCTTCAAAATAAAAGAAAGTTTATCGGGTCAAAGAGCCTCTACCAAGAGTTAAATATAGTTCTAGTCACAGAACGTCCTGCACAGCGCCAGGCTGGCTCTGTAGGCACAACATCTCTTACAATTACTGTGCTGCTGCAGGAATGAATCCCGGAAGCCAGTTCTCTACACACATATGGGAAATCAAATTCACCATTAGCTTCAACAGTTGGACTGCTAATGTAAGTTAATATTAAGAGCTAGTCTTCTCAGATGATATGCCTTACTATTTTATGCAAACAATTTTCTATAGACAAGACATTAACCTGGAAGGCCAAACATACCATAACTATTCATACCCATATTTTTTTGTAGTTATTCTCCAATTGGCAGTAGGATGGACTTTATTTTTGCCAGTACCTCAAAATAGGTCTTTTACCAGTACACCTCGGTCTTAATTTCAGATGACTCAAGTTTTTATGTAATTTGAATTAGAATAGATATTTAATTTTTAGAAAAAAAACCCCACACAAAGCAAAAACCCCCACTAACATATAAAGAAACTTTTTACAGAGTAATATTTCCAATAGACACCCCCCCAAAAAAAACATGTTAGTAAAAAAAAAAAAAAAATTAATCTAAAATCTAGTCACCAAGAATTAAACAAAAAGATGATTCATATAATTTGGCTTAACTTTTAATTTTTCTCTTATACCCTTTCTAGATGTCATTCTTTCCCTGGAAGGGTGAAGTAATAATTAAGTAGACCAAGTGGCGAGTAAAGTTACTTTCATAAAATTGCTACTAATTTCAGTACTTTATGCTTCAGATTATAGTGACAAGAAATATTGAAACCGTATTTTTCTGGTTCTCTAGCCACTGTATAGGAAACCTCTTTTGAAGTGCCACTCACCAGAGAAGTCATACTAAACCACCTATTTATTTTGCATCTTTTTCTAAAATAAAATAGGGTGACAAATTTAAAATAAGATGACATAGCTTTTTATTTTTTAGTTTTTCATAACTGAATACTCATTGGGTGCTTACTTCTTGTCAGGACTTTAGCCGGGTAGTATCTTAATATGCACAACCATTTCAGGAGACTGGCAAACATTATTACCCTGGTCTTACAGGTGAGGAATCAGAAGTGCGAAGAGATGACACAGGACCGCTATCAGGCTGGGAGCCAGGGATTGAACTTGGGCTGACTACTAGAGCTCGCACATAAATACCACACTTGGCAGGAAAGAGGAGGATGGGGTAGATATATAAAGTACCCTGTTTCCCCGAAAATAAGACAGTGTCTTATATTAATTTTTGCTCCCAAAGATGCGCTAGGTCTTATTTTCAGGGGATGTCTTATTTTTCCATGAAGAAGAATACGGTACACATTTATTGTTAAATGAAAATAAAGGAAATTTATTACCTGTATATGGTACGGTAGTTGTCAACACAAAGCAGACAAACTGTGAATCCTACAGTATCAAGAATTTACTCATTTATTCAATGACAATCATGTCATCGTCTTCTGGAACATCATAACAATCCAATTCCTGAATTTCCTGGTGAATTTCTTGTGGCTCCATTTCTTTCAGAATCAGTGGACCAAATCTCTCATGTTTAGTCTAGGGGGGGGGAGCCTTATTTTCGGGGGGTGCCTTATATTTCACTCAGAAGGAAACCTGTAAGTAGGTCTTATTTTCGAAGGATGTCTCATTTTCGTGGAAACACGGTAGAAGTAGACTATGGTTAGAAGACAATATATGTACAGTACCACAAAGGGATGCCACAGATGCTAGAAAAGGGCTGCAATAGTAAGCATGGCTCAGGAGGGTAGAGGAAAAGGAATCCTATGTATTTCTCCATCCTTGGCAAGCCCATCAAAGGGATGGAGGACAAAAATAAATGACTGAGGATTTTCACTTAAAAAGTCATGTTTAGTGCAGAAGTACAAATATGCAAAGATAAAAAAAAAAGGATAGTATACAAGCTTAAATATACCTATAAGGTTGCAGGTATTGGTAGTCCAATTTATTTAAGAACTGAAGTAAAAATAATCACTCTCTCTTGCAACTACAGCAAGCTTCCTTAAATGAGTAAGAATCAAGTGTGATGTAGTGGCACAATATTCTTCTCTAGGAATACATCTTGTAATTATTAGAGTCCAAGGGAAAACAGATTCAACTGCCACCTCTGTCTCCAACTTCAAATCTATATGTAATATTCACACGGAGGTTAACGGACTCAGCTAATTTCAACGCTGGGCATTTCACTTGATACTAGAGCCTGAGAGATTTAAAATGTAAATTTTAAGGTTCATGAAATTATAGGTTATCATACAAGAAAGGTGAATGTCTACTTGAAGCTGTAAGTAAACAGTTCGTGTGGTGAAAAATACCATTTGCTTGGCAGTTCTATTTACAGAAATAAATTCTCCGATTTAAATAACGTTGTGTTTATGATACAAAGGAACTTGTTAAAAACGCTACTTTTACTTAATATTAGCTACTACCCCTCCATCCCTTGCTTAATTTTAAGAGTGCCCTATTAATAAAACTGTCAAAGTCTCTCATTCTCCAGTGCATTTTGAGGCATCCTGACTTCCACATAGTGACCAAATCTTGTCAATTATGTCTTAAAAAACACCCACCCACCCAACCGTATTAAAGAATAAACCTTGTGACTCCTTCACCTATGACATTTTTACATAAAAAATGTACACACATTAGTTCAAGAGTATAAAAGATGAATGAGGAAAAACTCTAATGTAAACAAGATCGAGTCCAAAATAATTCCAGAGGCAAAAAACAAACAAACAAACAAAAACACACAACAAAAACAAAAACAAAAAACCCCCACACCAATGGCTACAGAATGAAGAAAGTTGTCTGAGATCACACCCAGCTTGCCAACAGTGAACCCTCTCCATACTTCATGACTTGGGAACAAGAACAAACATCACATACATAACAGAACCGGGAAAGAACTTTCTGCACTGTGCTAGCTGCCCTGCATGGGAAAAAAACGCATACCCCATTCATCATCTGGAGCAAGCGCTGCTGCCAAGTGTGAGACTTTCTCTGCCTTCTTTCTGAAAAATTAACATTTTGCTTCTAAGAGCCTCTCTCTGGACGCGAAGACCGTCTGTTCCAATGAAGAAAAGCCAGCCTGTGATTGGAAATCAGCCTCCCCCACGCCCACCTCCAGGCACACAAGTCAGTGACTTCCCAAGGGCCGGCCCGCCCGCCCGGGTCACCTGCGAAAGCCCACAGGGTCAAGTTCACGGACGGGAATGGCGTCCAGGTTCAAGGCCGGCGCCTTTTCCGACAAGAAGCTGCCGGTCCGGTCCGCCCGAGAGACGCCGGGGTGGCCATGACCCCCCGGGGGAGTGGCCATGACCCCCCGGGGAGTGGCATTGACCCCCGGGGAGTGGCATTGACCCCCGGGGAGTGACCATGACCCCCCGGGGAGCGGCATTGAACCCCGGGGAGTGGCATTGACTCCCCAGGGAGCAGCATTGAACCCCGGGGAGCGGCATTGAACCCCGGGGAGTGGCATTGATCCCCGGGAAGTGGCCATGACCCCCCGGGGAGCGGCATTGAACCCCGGGGAGTGGCCATGACCCCCCGGGGAGCGGCATTGAACCCCGGGGAGTGGCCATGACCCCCCGGGGAGCGGCATTGAACCCCGGGGAGTGGCCATGACCCCCCGGGGAGCGGCATTGAACCCCGGGGAGTGGCATTGACCCCCCCCCCGGGGAGTAGCATTGACCCGTGGGGAGTAGCATGGACCTCCCCCCGGGAGTGCCATGACCCCCCCGGGGAGTGCCATTGACCCCCGGGAAGTGGCCATGATTCCCCCGGGGAGTGGCATTGACCCCCGGGGAGTGGCATTGACCCCCGGGGAGTGACCATGACCCCCCGGGGAGTGGCATTGACTCCCCGGGGAGCAGCATTGAACCCCGGGGAGCAGCACTGAACCCCGGGGAGCGGCATTGAACCCCGGGGAGTGGCATTGATCCCCGGGAAGTGGCCATGACCCCCCGGGGAGCGGCATTGAACCCCGGGGAGTGGCATTGACCCCCCCCCCCGGGGAGTAGCATTGACCCGTGGGGAGTAGCATGGACCTCCCCCCGGGAGTGCCATGACCCCCCCGGGGAGTGGCATTGACCCCCGGGGAGTGGCATTGACCCCCCGGGCGGGGTCAGCGACCCCAATCAATCACGGGGCGCGGGCCGGGGTCACGTTCGCCCCGCGCGTCCTCACGGGCCCTCCGGCCGGGGCCGCGGGGAGTGTCCGGCCGGGAGACGCCGGAGCCCGGGGAGGGGAGGCGGGGGGACGACGACAGCTCCCGCCCCGGAACGGCCCCCTCCGCCCCCAGCGCCCCCGCTGCCCTCTGACCTTCTCGCACAGCGTCCGCACTTGGTTCTCGTTCAGCTGTTTACACTCGTTCAGCTGCTCGACCCACTGGTCCAGCTCCTTGGTGGCCGCCTTGTCGTCCATGGCGGCCCGCTCCGCCGCGCCGGCCCCGCCGCCGCCGCCCGCCCCCCGCCCGCCCCCGGCCCGGCGCCGCTCCCCGCCCCGGCCGCCGCCGCCAGCGCCCGGCGCGGGGGGAAGGAGCCGGGGAGCGCCGCCGAGGGCCCCGCGCCCCGGCCGAGCCCGGCGGTCGCCCCCGGGCGCGCGGCCCCCAGGGGCCCCTCAGGCGCCCTCGCCCGCCGCCGCCGCGCGCCCCGGAGCCGGTGGAGGGCGCGGGGAGGTGGGACCGCGCAGCGCGGGGCTTCAGCGCACTCCCGCCGGACCCCTGGCCGCTCGCCTTCTCCCGCCCGGGGCCTCTCCGCGGTCCCTCCCCCTTCGCTCTGGCCCTTTCTCTGCCCGCCCACCGGCGCTCCGTCACCGCGCGGGCATTTCCGCCGGGAAAAGGCGCGCGGGCGGCGCCGCCGCCGGGGCCAAGGGCGCGAGGAGGGCGGCAGCGCCCCCGTGCGGCGCGGCGGAGGAACTAACGGGCCGGAGGGGCTGAGGAGCGCGCCGCTGTCTCCCTCTTCTGGGCTCTGTCCTTCCCCAGCTCTTTCTTCTTCAACTCCCACCTCCCCCCCCCCTTTTTTTTCCCCCCTGGGAACCTTGTCCCCATCTTACTCTCCTGCATGCTTCCTCAGCGGTCTGGGGAGGGACTGGGGAAGCTGGTGCCTTTCCTCCAAGACTTTGCCTCCTCAGGCTAGCACTCTGAGCAAGCATTCAATATTTATTGAGTGGAAAAATGAATGCTTTCTAGCCTCACCTCTGCCACGAACGAGCTGTGTGGGGCTAGTTCATCTCAGATCCCCCTGATGATTGCTTGGCATTATATCAACCCCTGTCTCTTCCAGCTCCAGCATTCTCCACTGCATGTAGTGCAGTGTTGACACAGTGTTCTAATAAGCTGTTCATTCAAATATTCATCAATCTGGCCGTGCTAGCTGTCAGATTCCTTGAAGAACTGATGCCAAACAACCATACTGCCTCTGTTGGAGGTACGTACTATGGCGCTGAACCCAAGAGGCAAGCAACGTCCTGTAAAGGGAAGGCAAGGGTAGCAATATGGTGTTTCGTGCACCCAGTTGTGTCCCTCAGCTTGGCTTTCCGATATCCCTTGAGGGATCCTGGATTGCGTGAGGGCGCAGGCCAGGCTAAGGGACCCCACCAGTGCACAATCAGGGGCAGGGAGGGACTGAGGGAGAGCTCCAGGGCATGTCTGGCCCGTCTCACTCAATCCCAGAGCATCTGCCCCCTGGTGGTCAGTGCATGTCATAGTGAGCAGTTGAGTAGACCCTCCCCCTGGCCAGTCCTGCCCCCAAGTGCCTCCCCCCACCCCTGAGTGGCCTTAGCATGTCATTAGCATATTGTGCTTTGATTGGTTGAATGGACGACTGGACATTTAGCATATTTGGCTTTTATTATATAGGATAAATTTTCATTGTTTGCTATGGCAGTTAACTCCCCACTTTCTTTTGGATCTAAACGCACAGATATTAGTCCTCTTATTTACAATATCAACATGTCTGTCCAAAAGTCCTGTCTCCCCTTTCCTCGTTAATATATAATCTCATTTTGCTCTCTTGAAAAGCATCCTCTAATGTAGGGGTGTCGAACTCAATCAGAGAAGGGGCCAAAATCTAAAATCCAGCCTAAATTGTGGGCCGAATGGTTTACTGAACAGTCATAAACTGTCATTGTGATGGAAACGCAGCGGAGTGCAGTGATGACAGCGGGGTGCGGGCCACATTGCAAGGCCTGGCGGGACAGATTTGGTCCGCGGGCCTTGTGTGTGACACATGTGCTCTAATGCATTTGGCATATTTCCTTAAATTATCCATATAAAATAGGTTTCATGTACACATATGTAAATATACTTGTATTGTGCTATATGTATATTTCATTGTTTCTGATTTATTTCACTTGTTCAGTACTGTATTTAGTATTTGGCTTATAACTAAATTTCTAAGTAGTTTCTAACTTCTGATAAAAACAAAAATTCAACCAAGTAAATGTAAAGATCTAATTTGCTTTATTAAGCAATTCATGAATCGGGCAGATCCCATGTAGAAACTAGAAGGGCACTGCTAGGGGTTGTACAGAATGGAAGATTTTTATAGGGAGAAGGGTGGGGCAATGGAACCATTAACAAAAAAATGATTAATTTTGGGCCAGGACACCTTTCCTTTGGGGGAGAATAGGAAGGGTTTTTATAATGGAGATTGCTTCTTTGTACAGGAGATGGAGAAAGTCTTATTGGTGTTTGACCAGATAATTCAAGACTGGGTAAGATTCCATTTCTAGGAAATATTGAAACTGCAATTAGATCAAAATCAAAACTGCAAATAAAGGTTTGGTATCACGTGCTTCTAGCACAAGTGGTGATGCCATTTGAGGGCCTGAGGTTTTTTCTTTAATGCTCTGATATACTGTATTAAACTATATGAATACACTATATTTCATCCCTTTTTCTAATATTACTTGTTTTTGTTGTTGTTCTAATGCGTGTAAAGTGGTATCTCTATATATAAAAAGCCAGCAACTGTAATGCCATAATGATTGCTTGCTATGATGCCCACTGCTGCTAGTGAACCAGTTGATCAGGGGGTGGGGCCGGCTGGCCAACCTCCTACCATCTCTTTCTCCCAACAGGCCCAGTCCCAATCTGTGCTGATTGGGGTCAGGCCAGCCAGATCCCATCTCTGCACAAATTTGTGTACTGGGCCTCTAGTTTTATAATTTGCATTTCCGCTTTGCTAGTTATTTTGAGCATCTCATATATTTGCTGACCATTTGGGCTTCTTTTCCTGTGATTTGCATACTCAAATCATAGAATGCTTAATATTCTCTTCATTGTTGATTTCAGGGCATATGTCCTATGTGTAAATCCTCCGTCAGTTTTATTTGTGGTAAATAACTTCTCTCAGTCTGTCATCTCTCTGTGGAGTTCTTTTGAATAGAAACTTTTATGGTCAAATCCATTTTATTTTCCTTGCTGTGTTTTTGGGTCTTAAATGATTTCCTACTTCTGGTTCTACATTTTAGTTTTATTAGTTCTTAGTAGTAATTTGTTCACTGTGGAAAGGGGTCCAGCCAAAGATAGAATCATGAGAAAACATCACACAAACCCTAAGGAACACTGTATAAATTAACTGTATAAAAAGAAAGGACTGAGAACATTCCAGACTAAAGACCTTGCAGTGGACTATGACATGTGATTTTAACCTGGGTCCTTTGGTTGTAAGGCCCAAGATTAGGGCAGATGGTGAAAATTATTGAAATATATGGGGTCTGAGGGTTACATCCAAAAGAAACACTCCTGATGAGATATCATTCACTCACAGATTATTTTTAGTTTGCCCTTTGATGGATATTACCAGGGTTACAATGGAGAAACTTTTTATTATTGTACATTTCTGGATCAAGAACCCAGAAAGCAGAGTAAGAAAATTAGTTTTTAGTCTCTCCTAATATTTTTACCTTGAAAAAATTGGTGGAAGAGCCAAAGGTAACATAGCTGACTCAGCAAGTTCTATGTGGGCATTTTCAATGTGGCATATTTGAAACATTGCTTCATTTTGCATTGCTGAGCTGTGAACAAGGTTAAGAGGGGTGAGAAAAGATTAAGAGGGTGAGTGTAGCTCTAGGAAATTGTCACAGAAGTGGTCTTGGGGATACTTTTCAAAATAATAAGGACAGAAGAAAGGTAGAGAGCCCGACTCATGCTAGAGAACACAATAAGCCATATAGCATTTGAAGAGAAAAAAGTGAAGAGTCAGTCCATTTTGAGGAAAGTGATGTTTTCATTAATATTCAGGCGTGGTTTCAAAACGCCTTGGCTGGGAGTCAGTGGATTAGGAGTCATTAGTTACTTGATTTAGCATGACTCCCAATAGAATACATGCCCTTCTTAATGTAACTAAAATAATCTTAGCTGAGGAACCAGAACGATTTGTATGCACACAGAGCAATTGTTTCTCAAACATGCAAACATCCCAAATTAACTGCATTGCTCTTTGCAACGTTCACATTTCAGAAGAAGGGATTATGTATCAGGTACAGAAACTGATGTTTGGAATTAAAAGTGCAAGCAAGCCCTAGCCCAGTGGTCGGCAAACTCATCAGTCCACAGAGCCAAATATCAACAGTACAACGATTGAAATTTCTTTTGAGAGCCACATTTTTTAAACTTAAACTTCTTCTAAAGTCACTTCTTCAAAAATAGACTCACCCAGGCCGTGGTATTTTGTGGAAGAGCCACACTCAAGGGGCCAAAGAGCCGCATGTGGCTCTCGAGCCGCAGTTTGTCGACCAAGGCCCTAGCCAATTGCTCAGTGGTTAATTGGCCTGGGGACTGAAGGGTCGCAAGTTTCAGGCTTGATCTCGGACTGGTCCGGGTGCGTGTGGGAGGCAACCAATCAATAACTCTCTCTCACATTGATGTTTCTCTCTCTCTCTCTCTCTCTCTCCCTCCCTCCCTCCCTCCCCCCCTCCCTCCCCCCCCCCCCCTCTCTCTCTCCCCCTGTCCATTCCACTCTTTCTAAAAACCAGTGGGAAAATATATCCTCTGGTGAGGATTAAAAACAAAAGCAAATAAATGCAAGTAATATGTATAAAGAGATTTAAGACAGGTCTGACAGTCTTTTCAAACAAATAATATGGTAAACTATTAAATGAAGGTCACAAAGATGATTTGAGGTACAAAAACATCTTAAAGACCCTTCTGAATGAGTGAATTTATAAAATAAGCAAACAATACTTCCCTTTAGGAGGATACTATCAAGATTAGTTGATGCACACACCAATAGCATACTTTCAGAACAACTCAGATGTTCAATTGATGACTAAATGTAAATATAGTCTTTAATTAACCAAACAATAAATCGACTAGACCAGCTTTCTCAAAACAGATTCTAACATTAAAAAAAGAGAGAAATGATTCTGTCATAGACCTAAATTATTCTTACTCAATAAAGGAAAATAGATTTTAAAATAAGAGGAGTTATAAATCCGATGATAAATGCAGTTTTCTGTGACAACAAATTGTAATGCAGTGTATTCTGAGACAAACTGTTCCACAGAATGGTTTGGAGGAGACTTCTCACAAATCCCAGAGGGATTCTTCAATGGTTATGAAATTCAGAAATAAGATAATCAAGAAGCCAGCAGAACTCATACCCCAAGAAATAAAAAGGATTTATATCCTTACAAAACTTTCCTGTATTAATCTTTTAAATTTTTTTTCCACATTGCATTACTAATCAACCCTTTACCTTCTCAGCTCCTTTTCATTAGCAACTGCATCTGTAGTCATTGCTCTCAGAATTGTATTCATTAGAACTAATTA